TGTGAGATCACATAATTAAAAACTGGACTGTAAAGGCTGTCAAATCAAACCTACCCCCACCCTACAAATACAGCAGTAGGAGTATCATGGGGCTAGCAGCCTTTAAGCTGTTTTTTCTTCAAAGTCTGGATGGTGCAGAAGGTTTAACTGCTTCTTACAAAGCTCTGCTGAGAACACACAGATGACAGGTTTTGGTGGTATGCTCTGTCAATCAAGTATATTAGGAATTTCAAGGCAGTATCTCCCTCCTTGGAGACATTCAAAAGCTGTTTGGGCATGGTCCTGCACAACTGGCTCTAAGTGGCCCTGCTTGAGCAGGGGACTTGGAACAGATGACCTCCAGAGGGCCCTTCCCACTTCAACCATACTGTGAGATTTTGTGACTGTGAAAAATACTGTGTCCCTTTGAACCCAGGTCTCTACTTAAATTCAGATTCTGGCTTTGGACCACAGAGATGATAGTGCTCTTCAGAAAAAGAGATAAAAATTAAATTAACAAAATCAACAAATAAAAGTAACTATCTTCTTTTCTTGACCTCTTTCTGAAAGGTCAAACAATGTCTGCTTAAATCTGAATAAATAAACAAATAAAAATTAAAACTCAAGTGCAAGACCAAGTACATCAAACTTCAGGCCAAATAGTTAAAACTTCACCCAGTTACAGCAATTGAAACAGGAGGTTTTAATGAAAAGTGTCAGGAAATGTTAACAATAGGCTTGACTACCAGCTCCACCTATAATATATACTAAGCCACTAAAGACTATTATGTTGGCAAAAGTGAATAGTGGGGGTATAATCTTGTTCCTTGAAGGCAATTGTTCTAATCAGAAAGGTCAAACTCTGGGAGTCAGAAATAAATTCCAGTGCTATATATGGTCAGATGCACAGACAACTAAAAAAAGTTTTAATTTGACTGACATCAAGAGAAGTCATGATAATTGTTGAAAAGTTTACTTCTCTGGCAAAGTTATGGTAAGTTTGACTGCTCTTTAGCCCTGCAAAAGTAATCCACACTGTAATCTGCATTATTTGCCAAATTCTACAAAAAGAAGGCATCTACATTTTTAGAAGTGCTTATACTGTCCTGGGTAATCTGTCTTCTAAGGTGCATTAGCAAAGAAAAGAGTTGCGTGCCTAGAAGGTGAAGTTCAGAAATTCAGACTTTATCTAATCTATCTGGTCCAGAAAACAAAACACTCAGTGCTTTGTACATCCGCTAGAACAAAGGAACAATGAGATTGGGAAGTGCCTGGGCTGAAAGAGCCCTGGATGGAAACAAACACTTAAAAAGCCATTTACATTGTTATACAAGTCTCTGCTGGCAACGATACAACACTGATATATCACAGAAATAAAATATTTTCACAAAGATATTTTTATACCATTTGATACTATATGAATTAATGTCTCCAGGTCTCAAAGGAATGTTCCAGAAGATTTAATGTTGTTGGAATTACATTGCACCTCCATTTTCACTTTTTAGGAAAGGAATATAATTTTTGTGCAGAGCTGCAACAGATACATTTTATAGAAACAACAGACATGGTTATGTCCCATCTCAATGACATGACTCCTAAATACAGCCTCTAAGCTCAGAAACACTCCCGCCTTATGTAGGAGAAAAAAACCCCACAAGCACAACTGAGAGATACAAGCCCAGGACTGAGCAACAGGGAATTTCCACCAGTCTCAGCCATCTTCCTACCAAATTATCCATTTTTGACTAGTTTTCACTATTCATAAAACAGTAGCTTACTTCACAAGGACTTTTCTGAAGATTAAGTGAAGAGGGTTGATTTCACTGTCTTTATTAAGTACCAATATCCTTCTGGGGGGAATGACATGCAACCTAGAAAATCTCTAGAAGATGGTTATTTATTTTCTTCTTGTACTCTGCCTTTTGAGACAATGATTGTAACCATTATGTGATTATGGATGACAGGCTTATACAGCCTATAGTCAGAGCCATGTCACAGTAGTTGTTCCTACAGATGGCTAATAAAACAGATTTGTCCCAAATAATTTGAAATTTACAGGACTGAACACATTGCCAAGCCATGCTTCTGGTATTTGGAGAGTTACATGTTACAATGGAAAAATACTCTACTGGTCTGTGTCTTAGAAGGTAGAATTTTTAACCTCTTTTTATTCATATATTGAGCAGTTTTTCTGACAAAAAGTTATTTGCCTGTTAGTGCTCTTAGTACAGGTGGCTTGGATTAGGCCACCTTGATATAGTAACATACTGTATCACTGCAATATTTTTGTAGAAAACAATGTTGAAAAAGGCATTTATAAGCATACTGTAGAAGACATATTTGAAAGCAGAGCAATTGCCAAGTTGTTTTTCATGGCTTTTAAGACCAGTATTTCAAATCTGAATTTCAAATTGAAATTGGGAAATTTAACTGTAATTAGGATCTGTTTATATACTACTAACTAGAAGTTTAATTAAAGACCTAGTCATTCACTGGAAATACACTATGGAAATGCACAGTTATGCTGGTGCCTAGACATTTGGAGAGTTGAGAACTTAAAAAGTATTTTATCTGAAATCGAGAAAGACACAACACTACCAAATTTTGTCATAGAGTTGCTCTCAGTCACAGAAATAGTTTTAATGAGAACAATAAGGACAATAACATAAAAGGACCAACAGGTGCATGTGTTGTCCCAACTTTACAACATCAAGCATGCTGACTAGTTGTATGGGTTTATTTGCTGATTTATGCATATACATTTAAAAATATTAAATATTAATGAAAAATAAATATTAACATGAAATAAATATACAGACTTATCCCTACTAACATCTGTAATCTCTGGTTTGCAGTGGAAAATTTATCTGTAGCTCAGAGCTGATAAATCCTGTTATCAGCTTTTTCTTCATTTCCTATTCTACCAGAATAGCACAATTGCCAACACTGCAAATGTGCCTGCATGCCTGTGTATACCTGCCTTAGAAAGTGCATATATGACTGTATTTTCCATTGTTTTGGAGGACCTATTTTAGTTCTGGTCTAGAGGATTAAATACTTGCCATGTTAAATTGATAACCCCATAGATCAAAACTTCTTGAGTAAAGAGGCTCCACCTTAGTGGTCTAGTGTGGATTATTGTATGGAATACACTTTTAGATTTCAGATCCACAAGTGAAATAGAAGCTGCTTCTCAAAGATTCACAAAGGTCTGGGGCTACTTCAGACTTACACAGTCTTGGTGAGCTGTGCACTTACTCTATTGCAATATTAAACTTGCAAACAATATAGACTTAACTCATTGACATAACTATGATTTTAATGTGAAATAAAATACTCAGAAGGCCAAATTAACTCAGGGATTTGGTCCCCTCCAAGCCTCCACATTACAACTGCAACTAAGGTACGCATTATTCATCACTTTCACCTTAAGTCCTTCATCAGAATAGATCATACTCAAAATTTAACAAAGTATTTTGGATTTTATGGGCTACTCCAGCATTTTGTATAAGAAACGTGATGAAAACTGAACTCAGAACAGGAATGAGCCCATGAAAATTTTAACAGGACTGAATATAAGCAAAAAGTTAGTTTCCAAATTAGGTATATAAATGAATCTGCAACTTTCTCTGTGTACATTTACCATATCAAGACAAGACAGATGTTCAAAACCTCATTTTGCAAAAGTAAATACATGAGATGCAATTCCTCTCACTTAACTACAACCATCTAGACTTCAGGTGCCTGGTTTAACCTAGGCTCTTTTTGTGGTCAGTGGAGAAAGCTGGGCACCTGCAAAGGACAGCTTAGCCTATCTTTCTTGGACAAAGAGCTCAGGAAAGGAACCTCACTGAGTACCAAGGTCAGACACCATTTTTAGACGGCTCAGTTCCGCTACCATTCAAATCAGTGGGAAATTTGTTTACAATATGGTTGAAAATATTGTGCATACTCCCATATTCACAGGATAGTTTCCAGGAACACATGCCTATGGACATTCAGGCTCAGTAGGTCGTAAAACAAAATTACTGACATCAAGTAACAAAGGAACAGGTGAAAAAGAGCTTCCAGAAAACTTGTTTAAAATGCTGCCCCTAGTGGAAACATACAGAGGAATAATCCTCACCCATTTTGCACTGAAATGCATAGTATTAACAGTACAATAGGGGTTGTTGACAGGCATAACAAATCCTATATATTCGTTAGAAAAAAGGAAGATCAATTTTGAAGCAATAAATAAATAATAAATAGATTGACAATTTTTGGATGTATTTTTAACTCCCACAAGCAACTGATGTGATGAAATCAAGGGAAGCAAGTAACCATGGATCAATCTTTGCAGGAAACCTCCACAGTTCCTCTCTGCTATCCAAAATCCAAACACAAATCTCACTCCAACTATGGTCCACTAATTTGCAGTGTTTCAA